GTGTTGGTTCTCAGAAAACCCCCACCTCGTTATTGTCGTCAAAGAGCATTCAGAGCGGAGCCTTTCGGGAGCTAGGCGCACAGCTAGATGGGATAGGTTACGGTTGCTGATTGACAGCATTGAGAAGATTGAGTGCATCGGCAACTGGTTGCGAGAGGGACATATTAAACCCTCTGCCGAGGGTGGGATAGGCTTACCCTGCGACCCAGAGGTCATAGAGGGTGATATATGATAGCTGTTACGACCCAGTCATATGCAGGACGCAGGCTGCAGGTTGGGCCGGCTGCAGGAGCCACGGGACGGCACAGGCAGGGCGGACAACGGATTAATGGTCGGAGCGACCGTCACATTTGGATCGTGGAAGGAACCGTGATCCGTGTAAGCAGGATCACGGTTACAGCAGCGATCCAGGAGGAAACATCACGACGGAGGGAGTGATCCCTCGTAGTATATAGGCACGCAGTCAGACATGGCTATATGAATATTCGAACTTGCCCCTTATTCGCCTAGGTGGCCGTAAGCTACTGATGAATTGGAGCAAACGATTCCGCGTGGCAACGTTCAAACAAATGAGGGTGCTCAGAGGGCCTTGATGAGCGCATAAGAGCATGGCTAGAAAAACATGGCCGTTCCTTGCAGCTAGATCTGCTGGTGTGTAACCACCCCTATCTCTTGCCAGAGGGACAACTTCTGGCAGGCGTAAAAGAAGCTCCACCACATTTTTGTGCCCATTCGCGGCTGCGATGTGAAGCGGTGTTTGATCACCAAGATTAAGAGTAGTGGCATGCGCGCCTTGTAGCATCAAAAAGTCGACTGTGGGAGTGTGACCATTCGCGGCAGCCAGAAAGAGCGGGCTGTGGCCGCTCATGTCGCCTGCGTTCCAATCTATTCTTTTGGCTTGGAGAAAAGTTTGTACTGTCTGTAAATTTCCACTAGATGCAGCAAGATGAAGTGGTGTTTGGCCGCCTTGCAATCGAGAAGAAGTGCTGGCTCCGTGAACAATGAGAAGTCTGGTGATGCTGCTATGGCCTCGCACTGCTGCCTCACCGAGAGCTGACATTATCAGCTCGTCAGTTGCCTCAATGTCCAGGCAATGTGACCCCGACTGCGCGACGACATAGGATCTATTTTCGCCTATTATTGCGGCATCCTTCGGTCCTCGATGAGCTGGCACATTCGTGGCTCCATCTGTGGTTGTGAGCAACAATTCAACAATGGAACTATGGCCGTGCTTTGCTGCCAAAAGCAACGGTGTTTGGCGTAGCTCGTTCCTCACATCTAAGAATGCGCCTGCGCTGATGGCCTCTTCTGCGAGTCCTCTCCGTCCAGTCTTCGCCGCCCAGAGCAGCACGCGTGCAGAGAATATCGAAAATACGTAGGGTGCGATGAGAGAATGGAACCGGCTATTTGCTGTAGCGAGATGAATCAAGCACCTGAGATACCGGTGGTTGGCAATTTGCTTTGTGGCTTGTCCGAGCTGCTTTGACCCTTCACTCACCCCTGTCCGGATGAGAATGTCTACTATTGACAGCCATATTTCGGCCGGAACTCTATCAAATGCAGCTGGTGTCTCGGATGACTGGTGCATGAGTGATGCGGTATGGTGATCTCATCTCATCGTAACGGCAAAAGGCATTCTGGTGCGACATATACCAAGGCGTAGAGCTATTTGTGTTCGACTTATCCCTTTAATAGTGCCCCAAATTAGATCGTTTTACGATGGTATCCTTGTACCAACAGACCTCTGAGATGTGCAGGAAGTACTAGCAATTTTCCTGAGGACGATGGCTGTATTTACAAAAACAGTCGCAGCCAATGTCGGGGAAATTTTAGATGTCAAAGTGTGATGGCTCCCCGTTTGCAGAGATATCATTAGCCGTACTTGTCCACAGTATAGATACATAACTGGTGACCGTGAGATTCATTAGATCGCAGGATGAAGAGAGGTGCTTGCAAATCTGTAAATATTTTCAGTTCAACGCTGGCCAATTACGGATAACCTACACCGTATTCTCCCTTTCAAAAACATGTACTCACTGTGCCTTGGAACATGAGAAACGTGAAAATGTGTTTGAGGCTCCCTGAAGGTATGGTAACGGACTCCGGCAACAATAACGGCGCTCGACGACAAGCACTGTGCCTCAGAAACCCTCCAAGACGATCATTCTTTCGCCTCGTATATTTTCTTTCTTTGCGCTACCAGGCATGAGTATTAATGCCATCGCCAAATATTCTGGCAATTAGCATCCATAAATGGCGAGATATACTCAAACGGTGAATGGGGCAGATTTTGATATGCGACCGAGGCTCCCATTCGTGTGCGTAAGTATAGCTTCAATTATCCACGTCCTGTATCTACTTATCCTCGGGGCCGACAAGGAAAGGGGACGCATGGCTCTTCACGTCAGATTGGATATGGCTCCAGGTGCCGCCCAGAATCAACGAGGCATTGCAATAACTGGTTTCATCACCGCACTCTCGGTCGCCGTCTTGCTCTTCCTGATCCAGATCGCCGTGTTCCTGTATTTGAGAAGACAGCATCATCTGACTCATATATAGTGAGTACCTTCAGGTCATTTAATTGACGCACTGTTCTGATACAGGACATCTACACTAGCAAACCCAAAGCGAATTCCAACCCGCCGAAGGCGAAACAACTGCTTCAGCAGGTGATCAGATTTCCCGATAAGACAATCCCCGAAGAAACAATCAAAGAATGGGAAGGTTCTGATGCATACTACTTCCTTCGATACCTCAGGACCCTTCTTATGACGTTCTTACCTATCTCTCTTGTCGTCGTCCCTATTCTCATACCATTAAACTACTCGAATGGCAGGGGACAAGACCTTGATCCCTCTTCCCGGGAATCATCGGCAGTAGGGACTTGGCAAGTCATGGGGCTTGATACACTGGCTTTTGGTAATATAAAAAGTTCTAATACGGATCGCTATACGGCACATCTCGTGTGCGCCGTGCTTGTCATCGTGTGGTTCTGTTGTGTGTCATTGACGGAGATGAGAGAGTATGCACGGAAACAACGGCATGCTACCTCGCCCACGAATAGGATATCACAAGACCAGCACGGCCTAATAAATACCTTTAAACCTGTTGTTGAAACAGTCAGAGATGTACACCGCCTGCTGCGCAAAAGAGACGAAGCTCTAGATAAGTTCGAGTCAGCAGCCATCTCTCTGATCAAGGGAAAATCGACTTTTAAGGTATACTTCAAAGCACAGCTATACGGCGGTTTGTTTCGGCGCTTGGAGAGCGATATCGAAACGAAGATTATGGCATTGGACGGTCTTGAAGAGCTGTGCGCGGGGAAGACGGCTCGTCAACCGTGCGAGCTCTGCGCGGGGAACAGGGATGGTCAACCGCGTCAGCCATGCGAGAGAAAGGCGGATGGTAAACCGTGTGAACGGTGCATCGCAGTGAAATCCGCATGGCAGAACATTTTGTGGAGCAACGTTGGCCGCCCTAGGTGGCAAAAATGGATTCGCACCGCATTTGTGGCCTTTATCTTGACTGCGATGATTGCGCTGTGGGCGATACCCGTGTCCTGGACGGCAGCCCTGAGCCAGCTCGACACCTTAATCCGCAACAAGGACTTGCGGTCCTTTTTCCTGCAGCATAGAACATTAAGGACGTTGGCTGTGTCTGTAGCGGGAGTTTTACCTGGAGTAGCGCTTACTTTGATGCTTATGCTGATACCTCCTCTGCTTGAGTGTCTGTCTCGGATACAGGGATCTACATTGAGGTCTCAACAAGCCGCCTTCGTCCAACGATTCTACTTCGTCTTCCTCTTCGTGCAGATGTTTTTGGTAGTTTCTATCGCCTCGTTCTTCTCTTCATCCTTGAACCAGTTCCTGGAAAACATTGAAGCTGGTTTCTATCGCCTCGTTCCTCTCTTCATCCTTGAATCAGTTCCTGGAAAACATTGAAGCTCTGCGATCGGCCGAGAACATTCTCAACCTGTTGTCTCAGAACTTGCCCACGGCAGCAAATTACTTCTTCTCGTACATGATATTGCAGGCACTGTCTGGATCTGCGAACATATTGATGCAGAAAGCCCCAATGTTTTGGTTCGTCGCAGACAGGCTCTTTAGCTACACACCCCGGCAAAAATGGCTGAGACGAGACAGCATGGACATAGTTGGCTGGGGAGCGGTGTTTCCTCTGTATACTACCTTAGCATGCATTTCCCTGACTTACAGCATTATTGCGCCACTGATTTCACTCTTTGCTATGATATCCTTCGCCATGCTCTGGTTCACACATAAATACTCTGTGATCTACGTTAAAAAGCTGGATTCAGACCACGGCGGTATCCTGTATCCTCGGGCTATCAACCAGACTTTCACGGGGATTTATCTAATGGAACTCTGTATGGCAGGGCTGTTTCTTGGCGTACGAGATGATGGAGGACGGCAGAGTTGTCTTCGACATGGCATTACCATGATCGTTTCGCTAGTCATCACAGCAATCTTCCAGGTTGTTCTCAACCAAGTCCTCTTCCCCGCTTTCGAAAAGAATGATACATCCGACGAGCTAATTGACAAAGACCTTTTCAAACACGTAACGCATGTTGCAAATCGCAGTATAGCCTGGCTACCGACGGAGAATAGTGAGGGCACATGCGGCGGAGCCACCGTTTTGATAAATTGTAACTACCCACCAGAAGAGACACTGAACCACTGGTGGCGGGCAACTATCGACGAGAGAGGCCATGTGCAAATTGAAAGGTGTGTCAACGATGCGGAAGTCACCAAGACAGCGCAGAACTGCTGAGTTTTTGTTTCCGAATCTTCTAGCCTTGGTGGAAACGTGGTATGGGTTTCAGGGAAGATTAGAGCCAGAGCCACAGGTATACTACAGTATTGCACAACATACAATAACTAAATACATAAGTCCTAAATTAAAATAAATTTGGAAGTTGGAAAATAACTAAATACATAAGTCCGACATTAAAATAAATTTGGAAGTTGGAAAGCGAGCGCGTCTCACCACAGTGTTACAGACGCCCCCTGGATGATGTTCAGCTCCACGTCGATGCATAACGCGTGGCTTGGCTTCTCCCTGTCTTTTCAGAGCCGAGGACATAGCGTCGATGCATAACGCATGGCTTGGCTTCTCCTCTTGTCTTTTCAGAGCCGAGGACATAGATTCTAACCACAACTCCTCCGACGGTCCCACAGGACACCATTGTCAGGGTTTCAGCAGAAACGTGCTAGTCATAGTTAGGAATAGCAATGTGAATTCGCGTTACTGTACAATGCATACTTCACGCCTTTAAATACTCCTTCAAAAAGGTATTGATGATGACCAAAATTGTGTCATATCATAGTTTCTCGCTAGCGTAAATAATCTGTGGACCGCAATGCTTTGCTAGTGCTTCTCACAAGGGAGGGATAAAGAGCCAGTGAGCGTTCCTCGGATTCCTCGGGAATATGATTATGATGTCTTGAAAATGCCAGTAATACTGTATTAATATTAAATGAGGCTGCTTTTATGTCTTTTCCGCGGGACACATCCCCTCTGTCTTCACCAGTTTGCAAGATATCCGCGACTCTTCTTGGAACTGTTATTGAGCATCGGCATCGACAAGGCCACATCAAGTTCCATCAATCCCTCTAACGAAACGCTTTGAGTGCCGCTCCTCGTAGGTCACGTCCAGGATGTTTTCCAAATTGTCTTCCAAGACGTCATTTTCGGATTTTCCGCCCGCAGGTTTCAAGGGCAAAATCTTCCGACCAGCAGGTCAGGGATACGCCGAGGCATGCCGGATACCAAATGTCCGTGGCGGGAATAGACCAGCACTCATAGCACGCTGCTTTGATGCAGACGATGTGGTACTGGCTGTTAAATACTGTGACATGCACAATCAGCCTCTTGCTGTACGCAGCGGTGGACACGGGATAGACGGCTACGCTATGCCCAAAAACGCATTTGTTATCGACACTACACTGATGAAGAAGGTTGAAGTCGATCCCGTCACCGGCATTACCACAGTTGCAGCTGGCATGATCCTCGGCGAGATGGACGCGGCTACGCAGGAACATGGCTATGTCGTCCCGGCAGGAACCGTCTCCGAAACCGGTGTCGCCGGCCTCACATTGGGGGGCGACTTTGGCTATCTGACGCGTCGCTTTGGGCTGACAGTGGACAATCTTTTGTCTGTCAATGTAATGACCGTTGATGGCCAAAAGTTGATGGCTTCGGAGACGGAGAATCCGGAATTGTTCTGGGGACTCTGCGGCGCTGGGCACAACCTCGCCATTGCCACCTCGTTTACGTACCAAGCACAAAAGATCGGGCCACAAGTCATGAGCGGTTACATCATTTATCGAATCGAGGATGCGGTGGCCATTCTGAGCGAGATGGACAAGATTATGCGTGCCGCTCCCCTGGAGTTGAGCGTGTATCCTGTGGTTCTGCCAGCGCCGCCGCTCCCCGGGCTACCAGAGCAAATGGTTAATTTCCCACTCCTAGTGTTGATAATCGTGTTCACCGGTGAACCTCCAAAATATGAGGAAGCCATGACTGGGATCCGGGATCTGGGCGATGCGCTGGTCGACATGGTCCACCATTGCAGTTGGCTGGAGGCGAACTCGCTGTTAGATGTGCTTGCTCCTCCTGGTCGACGACAGCACAGCCGTGGAGGTTATCTCAAGGCAATCACACCAACGGTAGCTGCAACTGTGGCCGACCGGATCCGAACAGCTCCGGCCCCAACTGTTGACGGCCCAAGTGTCGCAGTCGCGTTTCATTGCCTTGGCGGCGCGATGCACGAACATTCTGAAGAATCAAAAGCATTCTCAAGAGAAAATGCTAGCTGGATGGTCGAGGCCTTCGGACAATGGGTTGGACGCGAGAAGGATGTGGAGTTCGTTGGCTGGATTGATGGCATCACTCCCTAGGGCCATTCCTGCTCTCCAATGGCTATGTGAACCTATCCGCCGATCGCGGTGCCGAGTGGTTGCGTGGGCTATACGGTTCGAATGAAAAGTGGAAGCGTCTCTGTGAGTTGAGGGACAGGCTGGATCCACGGAATTCGTTACGTTATAACAAGAA